TTTGTTCATGTAAATTAAAAAATATTTACGATTTGCAGGTAAAATAAACCAACAACAAATATATTTTTTTAAATGTACATTTTATTTTATTATATTTTATATTTTATTCTTTTTTTTTTTTTTATTGATTTAATAAAAAAAAAAGAATTATTATTTTTTCATTCCTTTTTTTGATTTGAAAATACAGTAATTGTATTTACATATATTTACATTATATAGTAAATACAGTAATAAATACAATAAAGCTACAATTCATTAAAATGTATTCTGCATTATTTATTGTAATTATAAAAAATATTCATTATTAAATAAACTGTCCTGTAATTGTGACATTGCTAGATAACATATAATGTACATATATAAAATAATTTATTTAAAAAAGTCATTAAAAAAATTTTCTTTGAAAATGACATGCATAATGTTGTGTAATTTTTATAATATAAAATAGATTTTAGTTTGTGTGTGTGTATTTTTTTTTATGAAAACCCATGCATTTATGGCAAAATAAATGGCATTTTATTTGATCCATTTCATTAGCTACAGAAAGAAATGAAAATGACATGCATTACAATATTTGCATTAACGGGCTAGACTGAAGCAGTAGCAGGCGTCGCTGCACTTGCACAGCACAGCTTCCATATAACTGCCTTTACTTCACCACAGCAATGAGAATCATGTTTCCTATTATATGCCCCCTTCAAGAAATATTGATAAACAGAGTTGAGCAAGTCTCGTTGAACCTCTCCGTAACGCTATATAAGCCTCTGCTTTATACTGTGCACATACTGTGTCCATTCGCTGCATTCCTGGTGACTGCGCTCGCTGTGGTACTGGAGGGTTTGGGGAAAGAGGGAGGGAAGCGGGTCAACCGCGGGTGTTTTGATCACTTCTTCTGGACTCAGATTAGAGAGCGCCGCTTCAGGGGGGGTGCATTTTTCCAGAAGTTGGAGGGCCAGAAAGGAGCAGAACCGAAGCGAGGGAGAGAGAGAGACGGAGATGAAGGGTGCAAGTTTGGAGAGGAGATGACATTTTTGCTGTAAAACAGGCAGAGAGGAGGTTGGGGCTGGTTTTGATTAAGAACCTCGCTGGATTTAAGGCCCAGTAGTTCGGCTCTGACGCATGGAAGCGAAAGTTCAATAACTGTAATGAAACCCAGATAATGAATGGACTCACAGGCATCTGTCTTAATCATTATAATAAATGCTTTAATAAACTGGTATTCAAGGTAATTAATGTAATTTTAAGTTATTTATTGTATTTATTATAAAATAAAATTTCCTGTCCGTGTAAGATTGCTTAAATTTTGTATTTTACATAGATTTTACATATACAAAACAAATGATTTTAAAAAGTGATTTTAAAATAATTTTTGGGGGGAAAAAACCGACATACAATTACATGTATTATGTGTAATTTTATGTAAATATATAATATTTTTAATATATAAAAAGATTTTACTTTATTAGTAACTCTTTGTATTTTTATATATGGTACAAGATTATCTTATTTAAATCAATGTAATAAACGAGGTCAAAAGTAATCTAAAAGTAGTCTGATTATATTATAAATTGAAATGTTATGGAATGTGTAATGTAATGGATTACGTTACTAACTACAATTTTTGTCATGGAATCAGTAACGGACTACAAATTAAAGTAATTTAAAGTACAATTTACAATTTAAAGTAATCTACACCGCTCTCCACACATTAAAATCTTTAATTTTTTTAATACATGCAAAATAAACAATTTTGTAATTTCCTGTCCATGTGATATTGCTCAAATATTGTGCATGACAATATTTGTCTTAATCATGTCTGTATTTATTTCTCTCAAGGAATTTGAGGAGAACCATGTGATACAAAATACTTAAAAGAGACATAATTGAGAACTCCCTTAAGTGTCCTTAGGTAGAGAAAGCCCAACCTCTGAGTAATAGCCTTTTCCTCTGGGAAGCATTCTGCATGTTCAGTTTGTTTTTCTAATGCATGTTAATGGAAATCTGTGCTAGGAATAGTTTATTAAAGTGTCATATTTTCAACATGTTTAAAATTAAATGCATCTCTCACACTGTTTCCTCCCGCAGGGCTGAAGCGTGTGTCTGCTCGGAGCGAGAGATACGCTTCTATGAGGGGCTGTAGGGAGAGTATTCAGACCTGTGGTTAACTACAGATTATACTTCCCCAGGGACCGTGAGCTGCATACTGCGCAGCAACCTACCCGTCTGTCTCTCTCTCGCTCAGAGGGAGGGCGGCCGGTGGTGAGCGCGGCGTGGGCTGAGCTCTGGGTGTTGGCTGAATGGGTGGAAGAGAGACCACAGGCATGAGAGAGAGAGAGTGTGTGTGTGTGTGTTTCTGGCAACATCAGGTGGTGTTGATGCTGAGATCTCTAAACTCATTCGCTTCTTGTCTCACTGTTCGGGGCCCGGGGGAAAGCAGTGTGATGTATACTGGTAACACACTCGACAAAATCACACACCGTCAATATCGTTAACCCTGTGTTCGAGCACGAATTGAGCTGAAAGGTGATGTCATGTTAAAATGCTTTCTCCTATCCCACTGACGTGTCAGCTGATAAACGGCATTGTCTGATAAGAGAAATTATCGGCACTATCGGCAATCGGCCAATTGTTTAATGGTGCTGTATGTATTTTTTTGATTGTATTAAAGCCCAAAGTTTACTTCGTTTTTTACGCATACACGATGGACTGCATACTGTGCATGTTGTCACCAGAATACTATGCATGTACTGTACGCACACCACCGATTTTTATAACTGTGTCCGATTTTTGTAACATGCTATCAAATGAACTATACTTTGAAAGGCTGCACATTCGACAGTATACTTTGGGAAAAGGGGGTTATGAGATAGCCGCAACTTTAGCTTAAAAGAGTACAAAGATTTTTTTATCGTCATAACTTCTGGGGAAAAATAGCGCAGACACTGGATAAAGATGAAACTTTTTGGAGCGCATGTGTCAATTGCCTGCGTTCACACATGCTATCAAATGACGTATACTTTGAAAGGCTGCGCATACTCTAGCGCAGGGCTGCCCAAACTCGGTCCTGGAGGGCCGGTGTCCTGCAGAGTTTAGCTCCAACCCTAATCAAACACACCTGAAGCAGCTAATCAAGCTCTTACTAGGTACACTAGAAACTTCCAGGCAGGTGTGTTGAGGCAAGCTGGAGCTAAACTCTGCAGAACACCGGCCCTCCAGGACCGAGTTTAGGCACCCCTGCTCTAGTGTAAAAACAATGAAGTATACTTTTGGCTAAAAGCATAAAAATACCATAATATGTTTGCAGATATTTAGAAAACATTCACATACTCAAAGTTCACATACTTGTTTCTCTTAAAATCAATGCTACAGCTAGTTTTCTACTTTGAAATGTGCATTCCATGTCGGAATGTCTGTTTTTGTTTTAGTTTGTGGGATTCCGCCCACTGCCAGTTTACCCAATAGGATTTTGACACTCTGGGGTGCCAGTTGATGGAAAGCTCAGTATACTGCAGCCATGGAAGCTTTCAAACAAACTGTGTCAGAGACACAGACTTTTGGGGGCCCTACGCAAAACTGTGTCGGGGTGTGGGGGGGGGGATATGAGTGGTTATGAACAAATGAATGAAACGCATTTGTCCGTGTTTCACTCCGTCTCAAATCGCGCTCGCAGAAAGCGCTTGAGAAACAGTGTCTCTTCCGCAGCTCGGTACGCTTTCAACTCGTTTTTTTAGTCTCGAGCAAGACTTTACGATATTCACATTACACGATTTCACTGATTTTTAGGTAGAAAGGGCGACATCGCACCGCATTAAAAGAAATGATCATTCATGTTTTCATAACCGCTGGCCAAATTCAAAAACTAAACTAAAATTAAATCATCTTTGAGAGCAAGGGGGCCCCCTGGTGTGTCGGGGGCCCTACGCAGCTTGAGTATTTTGCATGTAGGGAGGATGGGCTCTGGTCAGAGATCGCAGATTTTACCCGAACTAAAAAGCCTTGGAATCCATAGAAAAAAATCTATGACCAGAAACATTAAAACAATCAACTCATCAATTTACAGTGTAAGGCTTGTCAACTTCCATTGTTAGTTGTGTTCGGTCCTGTTGCTTATCCTCAACCTGGCAACCCACTTGACTGTCAAGACTGAAGAGGAGTGAGCAGGAGAAACAGCTCTCTCCAGTATTTTGAATTTAGTCTTCAGAATACATTTCAACCGCTACTGCACCTTTAAGAACACCAAGCTATTTGTGGAAGTCATCATGAATAACAGGCTATTAGTATTGGCTGAAAAATTTCGTATGGTGCATCCCTAATCATGATTATTCAGGATATGCATAGAGAACAGTATGTAAAACATTTGCCGGTGTAGTGCCGATATTTGCACCCTGCCAGATTATGCACCCCCTAGTATTGGTAGGTTTAGGAGTAGGAGTGGGGGAGGGGTTAGAATTAGGTGTGGGGGTGGGATTAGGCAATCAGGTAGCGACTTCAACGAGGGGGTGCATAATCTGGCAGGGGTGCATAATTCGGCACTACACCGGCCTGACACAGCAGCACTGAATCGACCAATGGCGTGCGTTTGGGGCGGGGCTTAATATCTGCTATCTGGTGTAAACAATAACTATGGAAGAATTGGTTTTGAAATAGCTAAAGCTGCAGAAATGACTTCATCTTTAAGTTTGGAACAGAATGTAAGCGCAACAGGTATTTAGTAGAGATCCAAAGTTACAATTTTCTGAAAGAAATGTGAGTGAAAGGAAAAGTCACTGCCACAATAATGTGTCTTGTTTTCTAGGTAAAATAAGTGATAAAGTGATAAAGTTTGTCTTCAGAGAATCTATCTTGCATTGGCAGATGTTTTTCATTTGTGTTTCACTTTTATGATAAGAATCTTCCAGTGCCACGTAAAAAATTGTACTTAATCTAAGGTATGTTCACTGAAAAAAAGCCTTAATGTATCATTCAGTGTTGCTTATGAGGTAAATGCATCTTGATTTAAGAAAATGTCAGTGTTTTACCTGAAAACAAGACATCATATCATGTACTCTGGTCTCTAGACACAGCTCAGCTTTCTCCTTCAATGTGAATGTTTTTCTCCTGATTTTCATCCTCCAAGCATAAATTGTGAATACGATCGCTTAGAAGATGAATAGCACATCTTTTCTCAATAAGCAGCATGATTTGAGGTTTCATTCATGTCTGTAGCACAAACAATGCGGGATGAGTTACACGCTGACGTTTAATAATTCAAGTTCAAGATTTGTTTATATCACTAATTATGAGCGACGGTAATGGTAATGCTTGCTTTAGCGAATGAAAAGCTTTCAGTTGTCTTAGGCCTTTAAGCAATCCTCCAGTCAGCTCCAGCAGCAGCTTGTTTGAATCCAGGCTGGAATGGAAGGGATGCCAGGCCCTGGCACTGCCAGCTCTCACTCTCTCTGGCACAGATGTCCACTTCTCCAGGGACAGGCATCTGTACTCATCCACACTGATAAACGTGCAAACCATTTGCCTATTCCATGTTCACACTCGCACAGTCTCCTGGTTATGTGACAACGTGTGACTGGAAAAAGGCTGATCTGGAGGAAAGAAAAGTTGAGTTTAAAACAACAAGAACAAATGTAGCTTCTTAGAGCCGTGACATTCGCTGAAAATGATTTTACATGAAAGCAAATGTTTTTATACATTTGTGTGTGTGTGTATGCAAAACTGTTGACATTATATAATTGTGTAGTGCATTTTGTTGCTATATACTGTATATATACAATACATACATACACACACATATATATATATATATATATATATACACACACATTTATGTTATTGTGTGTGTGTGTGTGTGTGTACAGTACTTGTTTATGCTACATTGTGGGGATGTGGTCCTCATGAGGGAAAAAAAGTTTATAAAAATAGTAAATGATGTTTATCTGAAAGTGTAACAATGCAAACAGGTTTTCAGTAAAGGGTAGGTTTAGGGTTAGGGGATAGAAAATATCGTTTGGTCAGTATACAAGTTATAGAAGTCTATGGAAAGTCCACACAATTCACAGAAACGAACATGAGTGTGTGTGTGTGTGTGTGTGTGTGTCTGTGTGTGTGCAGGTTTATGTGGTTTATGAGGACACAAATCTGTATAATAACATGGGTATGACATAGGTGTTACAACGAGAAGGTGATTTATGAGGACATTTTCAGTGTCCCCGTAATTCAAAAGGCTTATAAATAATTCAGAATGAGTTTTTTTGAAAATCTAAAAATGCAGAAAGTTTCCTGTGAGGGGTAGGTTTAGGGGTAGGGTTGGTGTAGGGCAATAGAAAATACGGTTTGTACAGTATAAAAACCATTACGCCTATGGAGAGTTATCGTTTGGTCAGTATACAAGTAATAGAAGTCTATGGAAAGTCCACACAATTCACAGAAACGAACATGAGTGTGTGTGTTTGTGTGTGCAGGTTTATGTGGTTTATGAGGACACAAATCTGTATAATAACATGGGTATGACATAGGTGTTACAACGAGAAGGTGATTTATGAGGACATTTTCAGTGTCCCCGTAATTCAAAAGGCTTATAAATAATTCAGAATGAGTTTTTTTGAAAATCTAAAAATGCAGAAAGTTTCCTGTAAGGGGTAGGGTTAGGGGTAGGGTTGGTGTAGGGCAATAGAAAATACGGTTTGTACAGTATAAAAACCATTACGCCTATGGAGAGTCCCCATGAACCATAAAAACAAACCTGTGTGTGTGTTTAAGCAAAACTGTTTTGACATTATATAATTGTGCAGTGCATTTTGTTGCTATACACACACACACAAGTTTGTGTGTGTAGATAGATAGATAGTGTGTTTATATAATGTTGTATAGACAGAAAATACTTAAATCTCAACTCAAGAAGCCTATACAGTCAAATCTTGATCTTGATTAGAAGTTTTTTTTTTGTTGTTGTTGTTGTTGTTGAGCCTGAGGTAATTGAAAAAGCTTTATTTGTGAGACTAAGTTGTGATCAGCTCTTGTATGTGTCTGGTCTTCTTTGGTTGTAAGTGTTGGAGTCGATAGCTGGAGTGTGTTCTGCTGACACTGTGTACACTGTGCAGCGCATTCCACTGGTTTTCGCTGTGCTGCACTTCCCAGTATTTATTTGGCACTCTCGCTGTTGCACACACACCACCTGTGACATTGTTAGATTTAGTGATGGTGGCTGACGTATCATTTCTCTCCCGTGTCACATGGGCTGATTTCCCATACTCCCCCACGACGGCCCTCTTAACTGTGTGATTATTCATTTTCACTCTGTTGAATAAAACCATTACGCCTATGGAGAGTCCCCATGAACCATAAAAACAAACCTGTGTGTGTGTTTAAGCAAAACTGTTTTGACATTATATAATTGTGCAGTGCATTTTGTTGCTATACACACACACACACAAGTTTGTGTGTGTAGATAGATAGATAGTGTGTTTATATAATGTTGTATAGACAGAAAATACTTAAATCTCAACTCAAGAAGCCTATACAGTCAAATCTTGATCTTGATTAGAAGTTTTTTTTTGTTGTTGTTGTTGTTGTTGAGCCTGAGGTAATTGAAAAAGCTTTATTTGTGAGACTAAGTTGTGATCAGCTCTTGTATATTTATTTCATTGATCTTGGAAAAACTTGTTTTTTGTGGGAATTCACTCAGAAATTGCTAGCAAATTTCACAATTTATTACAAAGAAACACACGGAATTAAACGTTAAAACAATAATTATTTTTAATTTCTTTTGTTTGACACACTTTTTTTGTTAAGCTTCCAATACTGTTGTAATACATTTTGCAAGTAAATTTTTAATACATTTGACATTCATCTATTTTAGTCTTTCCATTTCAAATTTCATGTTTGATTCAATGTGTTACTTGCTGTTTCTTTGCAATTGTTTGTGAAATTTACTAGTAATTTCTAAATCAAAATAGTTTCTTGCGTCCACTGAAAAAAAAAGGTGTAGGATTTGTTTTATACCATTTTTCACACAGAAATTGCTTGTACATTTCACAAGTATAATTAGGAAGAAATGACAAGCAACAAATTGAATTAAACATAAAACGTTTAGTGAGAAATTGTATTCTCTTGTAAAATGTGCTCCAATATTTATTTATATATGTTTTAATATAAAAATTAAAATATAAAATTGAACCTGTGTTATTTAAATAATACTCAAATGGGCTTTAAAGAGTATTGTCATCATAGTAGTGGTGAAAAAACGTAGTATTACCAAAGTACTTTGTCCCAAATCCATGGTAATGTGTGGTGTATGTGTAATGTGTTAAATACTTCAGTGTGGAACTCAATGATCATGATCACTATTGAAACATGGATTTGAGATTTTCTCTCCCAATATTCTGTTGAATACTGAGATCCAGTAATTCCCACAGGACTACCCCACTGACAACAATGCTGTGCAACCTGCTGTTGGGGTACTGTACAAAAAGAATTGTTGCTTGGCAACTGTTTGAGCTCCACTTTGAAGTTTTACAAATGTTTTCCGCAGGATGGCAAAAAGCCATGAAATGCCACATGAAAACTACAGCATAATAATAACACAGCAAAAACACGCATTTTTGTCTTAACTAAACCAAAACCATAAATAAACATTTACTAGTTACTTTAAATAAAATAAACGTTTACTGAAATAAAATAAATAGAAAAAAAAAATATTTTATTTCAACTATTTGCAAAGGCAACATTTCTCATTTTTGTTTAGTTTAACTTGAAGTACTACTAAAATCCCTCAAACTAATAAATAAAAAGGAATAAAAAACTATACATACACACATACAGGCATATGTGGTTTATGTGTGTATGTGTATATGTATGCATAGTTTTATTCCTTTTTATTTATTGTTATATGTTTATGTTATACAGTATGTATAACTATTTTACTATACTATAATAGCTTACTATAACTATTTAACTATATAACTATTTTTGTATTTAACTATTTTATTTTTTCACTTTTAAAAATTATTTTCAATTTAGTTTCACTTGAAGTACTAAAATAACTAATACGAATAAATAAATAAAAATATATAGACATTAAAAAAATAATACTAATAAAAATAACAAAAGGGCAAAACAAAATTACAAAAACTTTAAATATTTGTTTTCTTTCAGCGAGTTCCAATGGCAACATTTATTTTTGTTTATGCTATGTTTTATTTTATTTTCGCATGAAGTACTTAACTAAAACTACAAAATAAAAGTAATAAATACAAATTTATGAAAACCAAATTTAAAAAAAAACTAAAGCTAACAAAAATTACAAAAAAAAAAAAACTATTAAAAAAAAGTAAGTAATTTGTAAAAATTGTAAATGTAAGTAAAAACAGGAAATATAAAACAAAACAAAAATGTAACAGTATGTTAATGATATTAAAATAATACTGCTGCATATCTTACACTTTATTATCACAAGCTAACAAACCCCAGACTCTTAAATATTCTATTTAAATGCATAACTTGCCATTTTTGTACTAAAAATCATGTGTCTTTTTAAGGAGAAGTGTGTTGTTAGTTTTATAAGTGATCAGACTGATGATTTTCATGTGGTGGATGACAAATTATGAACAATTTCACATGGAAGTTGACTTTTTTGACCAGTTCGCAACCACTTAGAACACATTAGTAAGCATTTAACAACAACACCCAAGCATTTTGTACAGACAAACACTGTTCATTTTTCTCTCAGTCAATGTAAAAATCTCATTTCCACTGTAAAATTCTCTCTTTAATTATCTGTGGCAGGTTGTCTTCTGTTTACACATATGGCACAAGGAAATAACTTTCAAGTGAGCGTGCAGCACTAGATGAAAAGGGTGAAATAAACTGCTTCACGGCGATGGGGGCAAATGAAGGACTACTGCTGGCGCTTTAATAAGATCCCTCATCAGAATCCAGCCAGTTCCTTCCCGGGCCTCTCGGGGAGGGGGGCCTTCTGTGGTTCGGACCCTCCAAAGCGCACACGTAATTTGACTAACAGCTGCAGTGGCTTATAGAGGCCAGATGTGCAGTGTAAGAGAGGGGAGAAAAGCCGAACGGAGCGGTTCGGGGTCCGGGGCCCGAGTGCCCATGCAGCAGTAAAATGAGGGAGAGCTATTGTCATGCATGCTGCTCGCTTTTTATGGTGACTTCTGCAAATTACAAGGATGTAGGCATCAATTTTCACATGGGGCTTCACCGCGGACGGGTGTGTGTTCCAAAAACGTCATGCCCTTTACACTTTCTTTATGAGCTGAGCTCCAGCGAAACTTTCTGCTATGAGTCTGCTTAAGTGGTAAATGTGGAAAGCACTTAAACAAGAGTATCTTTTAAAGAGAGACAGTATAATAAAAGTAGAAGTGGATGGTGTTTAAACATGAAATCTGTATTTGAACCAAAAATAAACCACCTAAAAATGGACTAAATGTGTATTATCATATAGCAGTTAGACTATATATACAGAGTAGAAGACCTGTTATCTTAACGTCAACCTGAACTGGCATTTGCAATCCATTTGAATCAGGTATTTTATGTGTTTTCTAGAGAGACATTTTTTTTTAAATGTTCTATAGTATCATTGAGATATTATTTTATATAGGTTAAAAAAGAAAAGAAGAAAAAAAGGTAAATTAAATTTTTTCCATTTTGAATGACATTTTAGTTAAAGTTTTAGTAATTTTGTATTGTGTTTTCTTATACTTTTATTAGTTATTTTTATGTTCATATATTTTACTTTTTCTTTTTTTTTTTTACATTTACATTTTTATTTAAGTTTTAGTTTTAGCTCTTTTGGCACATCAAGCTAAATGAGAACTATGCTTTGGACATTTGAGAACATTTTACATTTATTTTTTATATTTATTGTTGAATATTAAAGTAAATGTAATATTTAATATTAATATATTTTTAATATTTAATCATTTTAATATTAGTTATCATTTATTTTAAAGTAACAACAGTTTTTAAAGGGTTAGTTCACCCAAAAATTTCAATTAGCCCATAAATTACTCACCCTCAAGTCATCCTAGGTGTAAATGACTTTCTTCTTTCAGACGAATCCAGTTGGAGTTATAGTAAAAATTGTCTTTGATCTTTCAAGCTGTTTCATGGCACTCAGCGGGTGTTGCATGCATCAGTCTAAAAGAAGTTAAATAAAAAGCGCCCATCCATAAAAAAAGGTGTCTCACACTGCTCCGGGGATGGGTGAACAAAGGCCTTCTGTAGTGAATTCATGCGTTTTTGTAAGAAAAATATCCATATTCAAAACGTAATAATCAAGTTAATCTAGCTTGCACTCACTGTTGTACACTGGAAGCAGCTCCGGGAGCATGATGTATGAGTTCAGCGTTGCGCATGCGCCGGTGAGTCTCGTGAAAACCAACGTTTGTTAACTGGAGCAAAGGAAGCAAAGTTTCCTTACTTTAGCAAAGGAAAACCAGTCTCCTCTTGGCTTATATCGAAATCCTCCGACATTCTTCTTTACAAATCCTCGTTTTGTACTTCTAATAAGTGACCGGTGTTTTGTTTTGATCTCTCCCCTGCGCTTCCGCTACATTAAAGTGATTATTACGTTTTGAATATGGATATTTTTCTTACAAAAACGCATTCCAAAAATGGATTCGCTACAGAAGGCCTTTGTTCACCCCTCCCCCGGAGCTGTGTAAGACACTTTTTTTTTAATGGATGGGCGCTTTTTATTTCACTTCTGATGCATGCAACACCCGCTGAGTGCCATTAAACAGCTTGAAAGATCAAAGACAATTTTTAATATAACTCCGACTTGATTCGTCTGAAAGAAGAAAGTCATATACACCTAGAATAACTTGAGGGTGAGTCATTTATGGGCTAATTTTCATTTTTGGGTGAACTAACCCTTTAAGTCGTTTTTTTTTTTTTTTGTTAACTATAATATTAATAACCCTGTATTCAATGCAGACAAAATGTTGTATAAGACTTGATTTTAGTTAAATGAATCATTAAAAAGTGGGTGTTACCAGAATGCAAAGCCTAACTAGCTAGTTGGATAAAAGTTAGCATTCTACAAACAATGTGAGCTGAAATAAAAGTGGCATTTCAATGGAAGAGCAAGTCATTGCGTGCAGGAAAACATGAGACTAACCTTGTTTGTTACGTTTCATGCTATTTTTAAATGCATGTAGTCTTGTAAGAAATAATAGAAGTGCTTTGATCAAAATATGAGCTTCAGATTTGTGCTTTTAAAAGCTTGATTGCTTGGACCTGTTTACTTTTTCTTACACTTTTTTTATTAAGAAAACTGTGCGTCGAGACTATAGTAATTGACATTATGCCTTATAGAACGGAACCTGCAACATTAATTTAAGAGATAAAAGAACGAAAGTGTTGTATCTCTCTCGCATCGCTGATTCAACTTAATTTGTGGTCTATGTCTAAATTTATGTAACCATGGCAATCACAAGAGCCTGTCTGTGTTTCAGCGATATGGTTTTCATGTTTCTACCAGACAGATTGTAAAATAGCCTGCAGGTTTTCTGTTGACAGAGCTCCTCCAACCACCAGGGAGCAGCGAGGGGAACACGAGGTTAAAGCTCATGTGGCAGCTGCACAAATGCAAAGATATTCTTTGCATTTATACATATAAATTATGCAATTTTGCTGATTTTTGAATCTTAAGTTGTCTAAACAAATAAACAGGCAGCCAGGCATGTACCATGATAATTACAGTTCTCAGTTATTTTTAATTTATATTCACCATCACAAAAGTTTTAAGATCTTGTGATTATATGGTTATTCATATACCTTGTTATTTATATGGCACTCTAATGCCAAAGGTTTGGAATAATTACAATTTTTAAATGTTTTTGCTCACCAAGCACCAAGACTGCATTTATTTGAACAGATACTGTAAAAATAGTTATATTGTGAAATATTATTATAATTTAAAATAACTTTTCTATTTGAATATATTTTAAAATGTGATTTATTCCTGTGATGCAAAGCTGAGTTTTGAGCATCATTACTCCAGTCTTCACTGTCACACGTTCCTTCAGAAATCATTCTAATATGTATATTTGGTGATCAATAAATAGCCAAACTTGGTTGTAATGTTAAAGAAATAAAGAACGTGTTTTCAGCGCTAAAAATAGCTCGCATTAATTAAAACTTCAAAACGAGAACCTAAAACACAACAGTAATTGGCGGTAAACATTAGAAATCCTTCTCAAGGTTAATAAAGTTTCAGTCAGGCCCATAAACAGACTAAACTGTACATGTGGCATCATCTCATGAATATGCTTTACTAGTCTCCCACTACGACCTTCAGATGAGACGCCACATGACCTCTGCAAAACATTTTACTGGCAAAATCAAATAACTCGAGAGTCGTAATAAATCATGATTCACTGGGACTGCATGACATGATAAAAAGGAGCAGATATCGCATTTGATGAAAAGGTTGTTTTATTCCCCCTGATAGCACATGGTGTAGCATGAAATGAGAGGTTATTGCTTAAATGATATTTTTCGGCTGAGCTAAGCAGTCCTCTTTAAGATTACTAACTAGTTGCATTAACTAAAGTGTATAAATGCATTCGTTTGATGATTTGATTTGATCGCTTTAGATAAAAGTGTCTGCTAAGTGCATAAATGATGTTCAGTATAGTTCAGAACACTAGATGCTAAATCAATGTTAAATGCAAATAATAAAATATATCTATATAATCATATGTGATCCTGGACCACAAAAGCAGTCATAATGGTCATCTGAAAGCTGTATAAATAAACTTTCCATTGATGGATGGTTTGTTAGGATAGGACAATATTTGGCCGAGATTTATTTAATACACGAGTTTCACAATTTGAGTTGAATTACTGAAATAAATGAGCTTTTCCACGACATTCTAATTTATTGAGATGCACCTGTACATCACAATAATCCCCAAGTCATCTACATTACTCCATAATCCATTCTAACACTTTCTCCAATGAAAAAAATATCCCGTATTGACGTATTAGAATGATTTTGGACTGTTTTTCTTGTAAACAGTGCTTTATCTGTGCATGTTTCTCACCAGATTCCGATTAGATTACTTTTTCACTGGAGAAAGCAATAACCTTGAACCTTAACCGTTAAGATTTTCACTTCACAAGATGTTAATTGATGGACTGGAGTGATGTGGATTAATTTTGGATTATTGTGATGTTTTTATCAGCTGTTTGGACTCTCATTCTGACGGCACCCATTCACTGCAGAGGATCCATTGGTGAGCAAGTGATGTAATGCTACATTTCTCCAAATCTGTTATGATAAAGAAACAAACTAATAGACATCTTGAATGGCCAGAGAGTGAGTAACTTTTCAGCAAAATTCCTTTTTTTGGTTGAACTATTCCTTTAACATTTGAAAAGGGAGGATTTTTTGTTGTAGTATCACACAAGCTGTGTGTCAAATCAAACTTTGCTTGTCATTTGTTAGTTGCAAGTCAAATTAAGCTAATGCCAACATAAACAGATTGCGTGACATTCTCAAACTTGAAAACTGTCAAATTAATACACTTCAGAGTTTGATTTCAGTGGGTGCTTTTGTATGACAGACACTTCTTTTTTGTAAGCAAAACTAGTCACAACTCAACATGATTGAACTTGAATCACATGATTAATACAGTTCAGATTTTTTTATTTTAAGCACATCTTGTGTACTTTCTCATGAAAAACGCTTCTTTTTTTCTAGGGAAAACCAGTCACAACTCAACACGATTGAACTTGGGAATCTGAATCACATGAGTATAAACAAAAACTTGTTTATAAATCGGATTTCACAATGAAGCCAATGGTCCTCCGTCCAAACGCACCCATGCAATGTTGTCCTTTTGGAATCAAATTTCCAGTTTTTGGGATGTGACGGGGTTTTGCTCTGATGAGGTTTATGTTTGCAAGGAAAAACCACACTCTTTCATCAGCCCTGGAAGTTTCCTCCCACATACTTCTCCATTTTCTTACATTTTCCAACCTGTCTTGTCGGGCCCGCTGCATGTGCACAGCGGCACCGAGCAGCACCATCCTCCAAAACCCTGATGTGGTTGAGGAACCAACGACTACGGCTGCTGGGCTCAAGTGGCTTCAATTACAGATGCTCACAATTACAGAGGAAAAGAACAGGGTTGGGCAGAACGTGCCAAGCACAAACACTGCCTGGATCACAGTGGGAGAAGGAGGGAGAGAGCAGGGAAGTCAAACGTTACCATCCCACCCAACCACCGTCGGGTTATTTTGGGATCTCGGTAGTTTCGGCATTTAGATACTAACTGGATTTTAGTCGCTGTACTTATTGGTTAGGACTAGATTTAAACTTCGTCTTCGCATCTGAGATTTGAGACTTCTTTTTCTGGGAACTACACTCTTAAAAATAAAGGTGCTTCAAAAGGTTCTTCAAGCGATGCCATAGAGGAACCATTTTTGGTTCCACAAAGAACCATTCAGTCAAAGGTTCTTTAAAGAACCATCTCTTTCTTACCTTTTCATAATCTGAAGAACCTTCTTTTGCCACAAAGAACCTTTTGTGAAACAGAAAGGTTCTTCAGATGTTAAAGGTTCTTTATGGAACCATTTAGACAAAAAGGGTCTTCTATGGCATCGTGAAGAACCTTTATTTTTAAGAGTGTACTTGAAATTTCCCCTCTGGAGTCAGAGGTTGTAAAACGCATATTAGTGAAGTCATTCTGAAGACTATTAGCTCTTACGATTGAAATGCCATAGGCATGGATTTGTAGATTTGCTGTGTTTACATGAGACGATTTTGGTGTTTGTTTACTGTGGAGTGTCGTTTTCCCTAAACAGCCATTTACTGGGCCACATGACTTGAATAACTGGATTGCGTGGCTATTTGCTCGCAGATTACATCAAACTTCAATAAAAGCAAACAGCAAAGGACAGATCCGTTGCCTGCGCAAGTCAAAAAATAACACTCTGAACCACATCATAAGACACCCAGAATGCATTTGCTTAGCGTGACTCTATTCTGACCTCTGCCACGTGACCTCTGAAATATTTTACTTGCAGAATCAAAGAGTCGTAGAAGATCAAAGAGCAAATCTGATGCTTGAACACTTTTGACCTGGTTGGGAGCTCCCAGAAGAATGTTTTAATACTCAGATGATGCTTTTTTTTTATAGCTCAGGAGGCTTGTTGGAGATCTCCGTTACGCTTCATTGAGGCATCAGCTTTTGTCTCAGAAGCTCTTGAAAGACACAGCTCAGATAATTTGGCTTCAGGATCATGTCGTTCATTGTTGAACTTTTGATCGCAGACTGGCACATCTGAGCACAGTTTGAGACATTCTTAAGCTCTTTTGAAACTCTAGAGAAAACTTGTGAGATTACAGAGGTCTTTTTCGCAGTAGAAACAACTGAAGTCTCACTTTGCTCTCTATTTAATCTTGCTGCTGTTATTTTGATTCTCCTTCGGGACAATTCCTATATACTATATAATAAATACATTTTAAAATGTACAAAAAAATAGCTGAAATATATTTACATAAATATATTTCTGCCAATATATTTAAAATATATTTTGGCCAGAAAAAAATGCCATATGGGTACACACACAAAAATAAAATGATATTGCTATATGTAATGCGACATTAAAAAGAGGGACCTTTTAATTCTAGATTGCATTTGATTTGTTAAAAATGTGTATACGCTGGTAAGTGTGACATTAATCAATAGTTTTGATTTGATTTCCCATAAGAGAAGTGCATAAATGCATAAAAATGTTTAATCAACTTTTGGGAGAACGCTAGCATATAGATGACTTTAAAACTAATAAACATTGACTCAAAACCACAAAAATCCAAATTTGATTTCATAAGAACAGAACTGGGAAGTGAAATTAATCTTTTCAGGGTGGTATCTTCCTTTTTGGGTGATATATACATTTTTGTTGACTGGAAGATTAAGTGATTAGTCTGTATTTATTAGCCAAAGATGCAACAAATTTTTTCATCTCCCAGCATCATGACTTTAATTGTTGTAATCCAGACATATCCGTCTGTTTTTACAGTCTACTCAACATCTGGGTTGCTAGAGAATCCTAGATGAAGGGCGGGATGATGCCATTCATTATGACAGGGATGATTGACAACAACACTGTAAAACATTTACGTGGTCCTTAAATTATGATAAGACATTCTGCTCTTTCTTAACAATAAATTAAATAAAAACTCAATCATTGTGTGACTGAGTTATTCTAAGTCCATTCAAAACATATACGCTTTCCACACGAGTCTCGCCGCTCCCCTACCGTGCGAATGGTACGCTCCATTTAAAGCGATAGCTGCGACTCCACGCTTCTAAAGTAAAGCGCGACGCTTTCTTGAGGTACGGACTGGAGAATACCATGCCATCGACGAGTTGAGCGCATATACGGGCGTTTTGCACAGGAAAATAAAGCGATATCTCCGAATCCGCCTGCGATACGCACAGAGAGGCTCTACAAAACCCAACTGTGGATGTAACTGTTGCACTTTGAACACAGGTACGAGTGATACACAAACACTCGCGCGAACGATTCATTCTGATGCATGGCTTTATCGTAGCGAAATCGTGAATGCATGATCCGGAGATGTAACGCGTGCTGCTTTTACCACAAAAAACAACGCGATCTCTTAGATGAGAGGATAGATGGTTAAACTGCTGTGTGGAAATGATCCTGATGGATGTGGTCAATAAAGCCAGCAAGAACAAAGGAGGCATTAAAAGCAGTGTTTAGCTAAAAGGAGGTAAAAAATCCGTGCATGTGCATTAAGAAATGCATTAAAATTACTTGACTGTTTTTAAGTAGCCAATACACAATGGATAATTATTCCATTCTTGCCTGTTGGTGGTTGTGCATGGATCTAACACATGCATATTGACATTTCAGATGGAAAGTTGCTTTGGATAAACCGCACAGACCACAATCAGGGGTCGTAGTTAAAGAGAAAAAAGCAATGTTTTAGTTAATTAACACAGGCAGATTAAATAGATACTCGGAAAAAAAGGTGATATCATGCATTCAATCTGTTTGTCTGTCACATCTGTAACAGTCACATGACTAAAATATTGTTTTCCTCTAGGCAAATGACCCAAATGGTGTTCCTCCCATTAAAGCCTAAACTAAAATCAAATGTATTGCTTCATTTGCACATTGATTTCGTTTATTTCCTTGCATGGGTAATTGATGCGTTGAGATCCCCGCGATAAAATGCGATTGATGCGTTTGTACCAAATCTGATCATTCAAATCCTTGGGTGCCAGTTTGATCCATGTCTGGGTGGAGAGGAGAGGGGCTGTGGCTGCCTGCAGTAGCCGGATCAGGGATGCTCTAACCCGGGCTGAGATTAGTACGAGCTCCGCTGCAGGATGTTCGGTGCTGTGGAGGAGGGAACAGAGCAAAACGCGTTTTACTCACAACCGAAAACAATCTGTAATCTCCGATCTCTATATCGGAATATATGCTTTGGGGAAAGGATAGACGATCTGCATGGGGAAATTAAATTAATATAAGAGCGTGATCTAAAGCTATATATTAAATAATACATAGGGTTTGTATGGAATTTAAGTTGTAACATTAATGATAATAATAATAAATTACTATTATTATCAATTATTATTTTATTAAATATTCTTATAACATTTTATACATGTATTTGTATATTTAATTTAGATTATTTATTTATATATATATATATATATATATATATATATATAT